CAGTAAAGATAATTTAAATTCTATACTCAGGCACACTATTAACAATTAAATGTATAATACACTTCCAGAAACTTAAGAACTTAAACATTTATATACTATAGTATACTTTAACAGGTTACTATGCAAGTATGTGCCCCTACCAAAATGAAGGAACACATAAAGAAAGGAATCTAAGAAACAAAAATTCAATACAGGAGGAAGGTGAAGGGAATTTCTGGATGATAAAGAAACTTCTAAGATGATGGTTGGGTCAGAGGCTAAGACAGCAACCAGTTCAAATTGGAGAATGCCAGGAAGGAGGTTTCCAAGTAGAAGAGGAGAAGGGGTGGAAAGGAGAAGAGAAATGAAAACTCTGATAGGTTTTCTAATAGGCTTGATCTTATGAAAATGAGCTATAAAGGGGCATGGGAAGACCAAGCAATGTCTTAAACAAATCCATGCTTTAATGAGTAAATTCTTAACTCCAGGAAATAGAAGTGTATTAAAAAGGAAATACAATAAATACCATTTGATCTAATAGTGAATAATATCACATTGCCCTCAATGTGATAAGTATAGGTAAGGTAGAACAGGAAATCCTCATCAGTAAATAGTATGTAAAATTAATGATTCAAAAGAGGAAGCAATATAAAAAATCATTTTAGAAATGAAGTTTCAATGAGGAACAAGAAAAGGGGTGAAGAGACTTGGGGTAGGGAGCTTCTGTTAATTTCATTTTAAGTGTTTAATCAGTTTGCATTGGTTGCTGTCTCAGCCTCTGACTCAGAGGCACTGAAAAGACTGGAATTCCTGCTACTGTCTATATCATATACATTTTACTATGTTAGAAGCAGAGGTTCTCCAGATTGAGAGAATTATTCCCAAAGCTGCTGTGTTCCTTTTTGGGTTATTTTTGTCTTAAACAAATAGCCACAGAAAGTTAATAACATTTTGATAATAAATGATGAAATAATTAGAATGATAAAATACTGCTTTCCTTAAAATACTACTTTAACTAAATAAGATATCAAGAAATAAATTATCAAAGGCTAGCCTGGGAACTTAATAAACATTTAATATAGTCATCCCTTGGTATCTGGGACTGATTATAGCATATTTCACAGATACAAACTCCACAGATGCTTAAGTCTCTTACAATGCATAATAATGTTATATAATGCAATTTACTATGATATATTTGCATTTAACCTACATATATTCTGCAAATTTAAATCCTCTCTACATTATTAGTATTGTTTTGAGGTGGGGTACTAGGGATTGAACCCAGGGCATCACATATGCTAGGCCAGTGCTTTAGCCGTGCAGGGTTTGTATTTTTTTTTTTTTAATTTTGAGTTGGGGTATTTCTAATTGTCCAGGGTGACGCTGAATTTGCAATCCTCTTGCCTCAGCCTCCTGGGTAGCTGGGATTATAGGTATGTGCCTCCATGCCCAGTTCTAGAATATTTATAATACCTACTATAGTAGATATACTATATAAATAGTTACACTGTATTGTTTAGGAAACAATGACAATATAAAAAAGTCTATCTGTGTTCAGTACAGATGCAAGCACTGTAGGTATAACTACATTTCAATATGTGGCTGACTGAATCCATGGGTATGGAAACCACATATATAAAGTGCTGACTGTGTA